TGTAATCTAGAAAATGAGTAAATATTATTTCAGATAACTGGTTTGAAAAGTGACTCCAAACATTTAGGTGGTGCAAATGCAGGATTACAGTCTAAAGACCCATCATTTGTGCCTTGTAGTATAAAAAAGAGAGAGAATTAAGGTTAATTTACAGTTAAAAACTGTGATTTCTGCCAAAGAAGATGAGTTTTAAGGTAAAAAAGAGGAAATCCAACCTCTAACAAACCACCTCTTCCAGCTTCAGAGGCCCAGATAAGGTCAGGAAACGCAGAAATTTAAAAAAGCACCCTGTCTGAGCAGGTAAAGGCCTGTTTTAAAAAATACTGTGTTGCTTATCTAAAACTCTAATCAAAGGTACTAATTACTGTAGGAAAATGATGTAAAACTGCTTTAAGTATTACAGTAGACCAACTATCTTCCTTTTATTTCTTTATAAAGAACATTTTCATCTTGCAATACAGTTAAAAGTGTGTGTACATGTAGGCTGGATTTAATTTAGATAGAACTTCACAGTTTGATGTGTCTGTAATCTAGAAAATGAGTAAATATTATTTCAGATAGCTGGTTTGAAAAGTGACTCCAAACATCTAGGTGGTGTAAATGACGGATTACGGTCTAAAGACCCATCATTTGTGCCTCGTAGTATAAAAAAGAGATGGAATTAAGGTTCATTCACAGTTAATAACTGCGATTTCTGCCAAAGAAGATGAGTTTTAAAGTAAAAAAAGAGGAAATCCAGCCTCTAACAAACCACCTCTTCCAGCTTCAGAGGCCCAGATAAAGTCAGGAAACGCAGCTAATTAAAAAAAGCACCCAGTCTGAGCAGGTAATGTCTGTTTCCCTGTGAAAAAGTGAGTGGTTTGAACAATATTTGCTTTTTCTGGGTTCCGCAGGAGAGTCCGGATCAGGTCTCTCCCCGCCGGCCAAAGCCTCCCGGCCCGGGGGGGCTCTCTCCGGGGGGTACGGGGCCGGAAAACACCCGGCCTGGTGGGGCCTCCATGACCCTGACACGGATCCCCCAAACCGTGTGTGTTAACAAGTCCTTAAAATGAGAGCGGAGATCACCTTTCCGTGGCTGACTCTACTACGCAACACGGCTAAATCCCATTAGCTTCCACCGGATTAGCCCGTTAGCTAAACGGGGGAACCGGGCTTTCGGTCAAAGTTACGCCTAAAAAAGTCTCCCTTTGATCGATAGCTCGGACTCCGGTGTCGCATTTGGGATATTTTCCCACACAAACCCGGTCCTGACCGAGAAGAGGACACGGCAACTGCCCCGGTGTAAAATGGCAGCCTAGCTTCCTCCGGCTGTTCAATAATGAGTCAGGAAAACAGTTGGCTAACCGTTTAGCATTAGCGCTAGCGTTAGCATTAGCCGCTAGCTCCCCAAGCTAGCTGCGTCGGTTGTTGTTTTTCGTTTCTCGTTTTTCGTAAAGAAGACAGCCGCCATTCTTTCCGGAACCCACGTTAGATGTCTTCTTACCATTTTAAGGCCGTCGCCGTGCCTGTACAACCGCGGATGGGGTGCGAAATCGGGCCCGGGAAACGGTTTCCCCCTGCCGCCTTTCTGGTCTCGGAATGCGCGTTGCTAACTGCGACCGATCCGCTGCTCCGCTCTCACAAAGATCAGCCCAGCAGCCACGGAATCACGGTGCGTTCAGGGCCGTGGGAAAAAACACACCTGCCCCGCGAACACGCACACGAATTTAAGGTCAAAACAACACAAAAACGACACTAAAAAGTCAGATTA